TGATTCTCTACTAATAAGAGATTGTGACAGAGCACCTTAAAAGAAGTAGGAATCTGATGACTTTATCCGCCACTGTACTAGTTTCCTCCAGCTGCTATAACAGAATATTAGCAACTGGTGACTGAAAGCAAGAGGAGTTTATTAGAACACTCATTGACATTGGTATTGGTAATGATTTTTCAGGGACAGCATCAAAATACTGTGGAACTACAATATTTAAAAGTCTCTGCACAGTAAATAGTCAACGTGAAAAGCAAACTGCACAGTGAGGAAAATTACTTATTAATCACTTATCTGATAGGGATTAAAAAAAAAAAGAAATGCATAGAATTCAGTAGCTGAAAAACAATTGAAAATACACAGAGCAACCGGATAGACGTTTTTCCAAGGAAAATATACAAATGATCCACGGGTACATAAAAGGGGGCTTAATGTCACTGATCACCAAAGAAATGCAAATCTGTTGTAATTCTTGTATGCATATGTGACAGGGAAGGGGTGTTAGGATCAAACCCAAACTTGATACGTACAAGGCAAATGCTTTTCTGCAGAGCTATACCCCCAACTCTCACATAGGAAAATGCACTCACATTTCACACTGGGCTTTGTCCTCCCATCTGTTAAAAAGACTGGTCAAAAAAAAACCAAAACATTGGTGCTAGTGAGCATCTGAAGACGCTGTGTGCTTGTTGATGAGGCTGTAAATTGGAACATTCTCTCTGAATGGTTCCTTAGCATGGAGGCTCGGTAGAAAAGTCAAACTAGAATATAAGACGCAGCAGTCTTCTGGATATGTAATGAAGGAAATGAAATCATCACTCAAGGACCTCACTGTGCCCCCCATGTTCATTGTGACATTATTTACAGTTGCCAACTCTTAGAAACAACTTGGTCTGTTGGCAGATAGATGGATAAAGAAAGATGTTATATACATACAATGCAATGTTATTCATGAAAAGTAGGAAATCTCTCCACTTGTGACAACTTGGATGAACCTTGAGATTATACAAGTGAAATAAGAGGAAGACAAACTCTGTATCAGTTTATTTGTGGAATCTAAAAGAACCAACCTACACAGAAACAAAGAAGATTGGTGGTTGCCAGAAGTGTGTGGAAAATGGGTGAAGGTAGTGAGCAGTTACAAAATTCCAGTTACTCCAGTTACACAGTGAGCCCATTGGGGGCAGGGAAGGGCTAGTGTACAGCAGGACTTTTCAGAATTGTGTATTGTAAACGTGAAGTTGCTAAGAGTCGACATCTTACACATTCCCACGGTGTACGCGCAATTGTAATTGTGAGGTGATGGTTGTATTGATCATCCTTGTTGCTGTATACCTTCAGTTGTAACAGCTGTACCTGTCAGTTACAGTTCTATGAAGCAGTTGGGAGGGGAAAAGAAGATAGGGTTTTTATAGCCCTCTTTTTTAAGTACTACTAATAGTAAAGTAAAGTAAAGGCCCTCCCGTTGATCATCGATTTGCTCGAGCGGGCCCAGTAACGTCTCCATTGGAGACTTTGTTGTTACTGTGTCTGGCATATCGAATACTCTCGGTAGCTTGCCGGGCTCTCCAAGAGGGGCGGAGGAATCGAACTCTGGTCGGCCATGTTGGCTGCATGCAAGGCAAACGCCCTACCCGCTGTGCTATCGCTCCAGCCCACTGCTAATAGGGGAACTAAACATTAAAGAACGAATACTGCTCTGGCTCCAGTATAAAATTACTCCTGTCAGGCTGGTTTTTGACTGGGCAGCTGGCTCAGTGGAAGGGAGCTTGTCTTCCCTGAGTTAAACCCTAGATTTAACCTCCAGCACCACAAGGCAACAATAATCACAAAACAAAAGCAAACACTTGCTGTTTCTGATTTCTCCTCAGTGTACCCACTGTTCTTTTCAGTTGGGTAGTCTTTGCATAACATTTCATCTTTTCCTGCTGGAATTTTGTATTTGTTCATAATCTCTGAAACCATGTATGTCTAACTTAAAGTCTTCTGAGATTATGTAACTTTTTTTACTAGACCTCACTCCTTGGGAATCTATCAAGTCACTCTTTTAGTCTTGAATAGACCTTAAAATTTGCTCTCAAACTGCTGGATCATTGTCCCATCTGTCCCTTCTGACTAGGAATAAGCTTCCTTCCACCAGTATAGAAACCTGAGAATTTGATCTCTTCAGTACAAAACTGATTTTGCTTCTGATAGAGCACTCATTGACCTCTGCCTGCTCCCACCGCCCTGGTGCTGCCTATGTCACCTCTTGCCCACATTTCTTTTTCTTTTCTTTTTTTTTTTTTTAAATATTAGTGAATCACGTGTGAGGTACAGTTACAGACTTACAAACTTCTGTGCTTGCATTTCAGTCATACAATGGTCGAGTACCCATTCCTCCATCAGTGTCCGTTTTCCACCACCAATGGTCCTAGGATCCCTCCCATCACCCCCATCCTGTCCCCTGCACCCTACCCCGCCTCTGTGGCAGGGCATTGCTTTTGCTCTCTCTTTCCTTTTGGGTGTTAACTTGCCCACATTTCTTTACCAGCTCCCAGTTTACTATAGTTTACTTTACCAGCTCCTAATTTTACTGTAGACATTTACAAGCTATTTCACCTGCTTTGTATAATTTTTAGTGTTGATTCATAAACTGATAATGACTATAAATTTTTTTTATAAAAAAAATTCAACAATTCAAAAAAAATTCCTCAGTGTGAAAATTGTTTAGTAGCCGGTATCTTTTCCACTCTCGTTTCTTTGATCTACTAGGAATCTGGACTTAGCTTTCCAGATCTTGATGGCCTTAAACTTGACGTGGACCCTTCCTGCCAAAGGACCTGTGTCAGAAAGGAGTACCTGTGCTCAGGTGAAGAAAGCAGGCTTTCGTGCATGTTGTTTTGCATTTTCATGAGGGCTCTGTCAGTAAATCCAGTTCTGAGATCTCAGAATGACTACCTCTGTGTATGCTCCTACCACCGTGGCCTGAGGTGTTCCTGTTTTCCCACATAAGAGTGAACGCTTTCCCACACAACACACCACAGTGATGCTGTGATTGCTGGTCTGCTGGGTCTGACGTGATGCTCACACATTTCCAGTTTTCTAAGCTTGTAATCTCCATAAGCCACTTGGTTTCTCCTTCTTGGAATTTTCTAATTGTTGTTTCTGTTTTTATGTATGAGTTGTCTTTTCTTCCTGGCCTTCAAGGGGTTCCTTATATATTCTGGATATTAATTGGTTATAGATATTGTAGCACCCTTATATTCTTTCATTTTTAAAACATTTTTCTGTTTGTTTCTTGCATGTTTTTATGGTCTTCTGAGTTCAGTTTCATTCTCTATTGTATATTTAAGCTTAAATTTTTCTTCATAACAGTACTTTATTTACTTATTTGGGAAAGGGAATTTGAGCTATACCTAGTGGTACTCAAAACTTATAGCTATGCTCGGATCAGTCCTGGCAGTGCTCTGGGGACCATATGCAGTGCTAGGGGTTGAACTGGCATCAGCCACATACAAGGCAAGTGCCTTACCACTGTACTATATCCCTCTGTCACCAGAATTTTAATATGTAGTACTTCACTGTCACTGTCACTGTCCTCCTGTTGTTCATCGATTTGCTCAAGCAGGCCCAGTAACGTCTCCATTGTGAAACTTGTTGTTACTGTGTTTGGCATATCGAATATGTCACAGGTAGCTTGCCAGGCTTTGCCGTGCGGGCAAGATACTCTCAGTAGCTTGCCAGGCTCTCTGAGAGGGGCAGAGGAATCAAATTCGAGTCAGCCATGTTGGCCGCTTGCAAGGCAAACACCCTACCGCTGTGCTATTGCTCCAGCCCATGTAGTAGTTAGTGTTTGGTTTTGTGTACCTACAATTTCTTTTTTGCTTTTCTGTTTAATGAGACGGTTGTTCCATTATTGATTTTTAATTAATACTATAAGCAAGGGATTTGTATTAGCATTTCTCACCAGGAGGCTATATGACCTCAGCATACTCCAAGAAGGCTAGAAGTAAAAATTTGTGTAAATGAGGGTTATGATAGGATAAGAGCCAGCTGGTAGGACAGGGGCTACAGGGAGGAGACAAGTTTGGAAGGGGCTGTACGAGACTTCTGTGCAAGACTAGAAGTTTCTTTGCAGCCTATAGGCACCTGTGTTGTTACTATTCCCAGACTGCTTGGTTGTCTAGGGCTTGCTAAGAGTTCTGGTCTTCTTTTATCCCCCAACCCAAATGGCCTTTGGAGGTAGCAGCAAAGAATTTGTGTTCTATTGTGCCGTAGGGGGTTGGAACCATGTGCACAAAGCAATGCCGGTAACGGAGAAATTCACAACTAGAAAGAGCTGTCTCTGTTCTCACACTTGGCTGTCAATATCCCTTAGTTGCTGTTTTCCTCCTGCTCTAGAAACCTGTTACTTTGGTGTGATCTGGATTGAGTTGAGAGACTCCAAAACATAGACTGACTTGACAACCTGTTCAGAAATGAAGCCCCACTCCTACCCCTCCCTCTCTCTAGGTAGATCTATCAATAGATAAGTAGAAAGATACCTGGTTTCTGGGTCATACTTGGTGGTGATCAGTGTTGACTTTTGAGTCTGTGCTCAGGGATCACTCCTGGTGTGTTTTGGGGGATCATATGAGATAACAGGGATTGAACTTGGGTCAGTTAAAATGCAAGGCAAGTGCCCTACCCATTGTATTAGCACTCTGGCTCCAGAAGGCACAATAATTTAGACTCTTTAGTACCACTGGATATGACCCAGAAGCGAACAAGACATTAAAACTCTTCTTTAGAATATTTTTTTTTATAAAACCCCCATCTGGACATTGAAATCTTGAGGTAGGTAAATAGTGAATACTACTTTGACATTAAAACTAATTACAAACTACACTTTCATTTTTAAATGTTTTAGCTCCTTTTTATGATTAGTTACATATCAGATATTTGTATTCAAATAGTAAAGTTGGAGTTTTTTAAAATTTGCCTTTGCTTTTATTTAAATGTTCTTTGCTTTCTCGTAGATTTGCCTGAGGTCACCCTCGTATATATAATACGGACCCGCCTTCGCTAACTTCACCTGGGAAAGAGAGTTATTTTTTTATGTTAATAAATCCTAAGGAAAACAAATTACCCAAGGAATCATGACAGATGCCCATTGCTGCTTTTTTGTATTATCTGTTTTTTCAATCATTAAGACAAAACTGCCTGTGCTCTAAAGAAAATTTTTCAAAATTATTTTTGACAATTTAAAGAAAATATCTTTCAGATCTGAAATGATAAATTCTTATACATTGACCACATAGAAATCCATCAGGCCTTGTTCATAGTGGATTACTTTTGTGGCTCTCAGAACTTCAGTGTCTGTGTTCGCTATTGTTACTTGGCAGAGTCCTCTAGTTCACAGCATCAGAGAAGAGATGAACTTAGAAACTTGCATAGTTATAATAGACTGCCGTGAATACAAGTGGACAGTTCAAGCAGTCGTCCATTTTATCAACAGAAATATCACCTAAGTATATAATTCATAGTTTTAATGACAATAAAGTTGCTTGAAAATGGCATGGGTCAGATTCTTACGGAAACCTACCGGCAATCTTGGAAAAGTTTACCAACCTGGGAGTATGCTGTCTCTGGCCCCTACCAAAGGCTTGTTGAACGAACCAGGACAAAACAACTGCTTCCTTAATAGTGCTGTACAGGTGAGACCACAGTGACTTGTTATAGTTCACAAAGTCCTTTGCGGAAAATCATTTAATTCTTCTTTTCTTGTAAATGAAGACTAAAGCTATCATGGTCTGATATCTCTTTTAATGATAGTAACAATATTTTGGCTCTGTGTATTGGTTATTATAATGTAAAAAAGGGCTGGAGCTATAGCACAGTGGGTAGGGCATTTGCCTTGCACTTGGCCATCCTGAGTTCAATTCCTCTGCTCCTCTTGGAGAGCCCAGCAAGCTACCGAGAGTATCTTGCCCGCACAGCAAAACCTGGAAAGCTCCTCATGATGTGTTCCATATGCCAAAGTAACAACAAGGCTTACAATTTGTTGTGAGACGTTACTGTTGACTGCTCGAGCAAATTGATGAACAATGGGAGAACAGTGCTACAGTGCTAATGTAAAAAAACATTAGCAGAGCAATATAGTACTGTAATTTAAATTTTTTGACTCAGTATGTTTGTATATTTCTAAAATATATGAAATTTTATTTTGAGGCAGCCAACTTAATACCCTTCTTAAAGAAATTCAACAAACTTCCTATAGATAGTATAAGAAAAATCAAGATGCATTAATTAAATGAAAATGCGGTCTTTAATCTCAGTCCTAAAACTCCAACCCCCTCCACTGGGTACCCTGAATCATCTTTACAATGAATTAGGCACCAGTTTTGTATTTAAAGTTTAATCTATTTTGCTTCCTTATTTTAATTAATAGGTATGTGTTTGCTTTTCTGCCCTAGATAAAAAATTCCTTTTGAGATTTTGTTTTGGGAAAACACCCCGCAGTGCTTGCTGGATACTCCTATTCTGGGTGTGGGAGTCCAGGTGATACTGAAAGTGAACATTGGCCTCTAGAATACTAGTGCTAAAGCACATGGAGCTGGCTCCTCCAGCTGGCCCCCTGGCCCTGAGTTTTTCTTTTGCATGATAGTTTTTGTTCAGAAGTTTTTATTTAGAGTTTTTGTATGATCCTGTCCCCGTCAGATTGTTTTCTCTAGTGCTAATGGTGAGGTTCTGGAGAGATAGTACAGGGTTTAAGGTACTGCCTTGCACGTGCTGACCCCAGTTCAAATCCCTAGCACTGTGTATAGGAGCCCCAGATACCACCAGGGGTCACTGTTGAGCACAGAGCTAGGAATAGTCCCTGAGCATTGCCAGGTTGTGACCTCCCTGGTCACAACAAAACATAAAATTAAGTAAATATATGAGAAAAATAGAATATTGGGTTATATTTCTATCTCTAGTATAACATACCTTAAAATAAGTTATTTAAGATAAGTTATTACTTCTCTCTGTTGTCTGGGAAGTGAGTGTCTGAGAGAAATGTTTGCTAATTCAGTTGATAAACAAAACAGGTGTAGAATGAGTAAAGCATTCAGCTGACTGAGACCTCAGAGCTCTGTGGTCTTCGATCTTGGTTGGATGTTCACTCTGATAGTTCTTTAACTTCCCCAGGAAAGAAAAGCATGCATGGGGCCAGAAAGATAGATAGTAGAGCAGGCAGGGTGCTTGTCTTGCAAACGGCTGATCCCATGAGAGATCCCTGAGTACTTCAGGAAGTGGAAAAAAAACAAACAGAACACCTCAAAAAGTGGACAAATTAAAAAAAGTTGGTCAACTGATTTAAACATAAATATTGCATGTTTAAACCAGTTCTTAAAATTGTAAGTACTACCTTTATCCCCATTTTATTGGTTGGAAGATAAGAGTTTCAGAGAATGCTTTGCCTAAGTCAGATCAGGAGCTCGGAAATAGTCAGGAAAGAATTAGAACCTGGCCACTCCTCAGAGGTTGGTTATTAACCACAGTGCTAAGCTCCTTCCCAAGGCCAAGGTGGAGCGGTCTGTCATGATATTCATCTTTTCTGGTAAAAATCTCACTGAGCAATATTTTATTTTATGCTAGTTTATGGTATGCAAGGAAGTATACATTATTAAGATCTAATCCCTGCAAGAGCTCCGAGGCCAGGCAAATGCCATTACTTTTCTCTCTGTATAGATTTCAAGTTTTTCAGAATAATGTTAAGGACTGGATTATTCCAGTAATGTTAAGTCTTTCTGCTATTTTGTTAGCAGATGATGTGTGGCTGACTGAAGCAGAGAGGTTTCGATCATGCTGCCTGTTACCCTGTTTTATTCCTATCACCACACCGATGCCCCCTTTCAGTTCTGGGTACACTGACCAAGCGGACTTGAACTCGCCCTCTTTTGCTGTTGCCACAGTAAATTCACCCCTATTTGATATAGCCTGGCCTTTAGCTCCATTTATATTTCCCTTCTAGATTTCATTTGGTTTCAAGAATTTATAATCACTTCCTCTTTCATGTCTTTGCCAAGTAACCCTTGTTTCCTATTCATATAAAATCCTTGACTGAGGATTAATTTTTTTCTTGTTCTATATCTGTCATGGTTTCCCCTTGTGAATCAATGGGAGTATCTTATAAATCCACCTTTGTAGAAGAACTAGCTACATGGATGTACTGGCAGTTTTATACTGGCCAGTTTTTTTAGTGGTTGTAGGTGCCTGATTCTGTGCAAGAGATTAAAAAGAGCTACTTACTAACCTACAATATAAAAAGCATTTGAATTTATCTTTTGTTGGAGTGAGAAAAGTTTTATCAAGTCTCTTTTTATAAAAGATAATATCAATGTTTTATAGGTTTTATGGCAACTGGATATATTCCGGCGAAGCCTACGGAATCTGACTGGCCACGTTTGTCAAGGAGACGCCTGTATCTTTTGTGCACTAAAGGTAATCGTTGAATAGTTCTGAAAATGTTCCATCAGTGGTTTCTCAAACAAATTTAATTTTGTTTGTTGATCTATTGGGTTAATTGTAATCAGTGTTAATATATTGTCAAGTGAGTTACACTTTTGAAGATGAATTTTTCCAAAATAATTTTTATTCAGGTTCATATTTTTATTTTCGTCACACATAGGGAGAGTGAAAATTAGTATTCTGGAATGGTGAAGCGACTGAAGTGGTAGAGTGCATGCCTGGCATATGTGAGGCGCTGGGTTGGCACCACATCTCTCCCCAGAGCCACTGGGGATGGTCCTGGACTTGTCAACACTGCCAGGTGTGGCCCACCCAGAATGTGTTAAGGTCTGCATATGGATAAATGTGCAGGGGTTATTGTCTTCGAATGATCTTTTTGTTGTTTTAGAATGATTATTCATTTCAGCGCGTTCCCTTTTGAGTTGCTGCTAGATTCTGAGCAGTCCTATATAGTTCCTGAGGGTACCGCAGTATGCAGAATCGATTTCTTTTCTCATGGAGCATATGTGTTAGCAGGGGAGGAGAGCACAAATAGGCGAACTAATGGCAGTGTAATATGGAACTAACTACAAAGATGGAAAAAACAAATTGAAGCAAGAGATTAGACAGTTGAAAGTGGCCCAGAAAGCCTCACTCAGCAAATGATACTTGTATCAGGACCTAGGGATGGTGATCAAGTGTGGGCTGGAGCATTCCAGCATTCTAGGCAGGTAGAGAAAAAGCAACCACAAACGCCCCATATCGTGTGTGTGTGTGTGTGAGAGAGAGAGAGAGGGAGAGAGGGAGAGAGGGAAAGAGAGGGAAAGGAGAGAGAACATGCACATGCACTTGCACGCACGTGTGTTTTGTTAACAAGAGGAAAGCAGTAGAAGATGAGCTTAGCGTCAGGTGAGTCATGGTGACTAAAGCTAATCTGTAAATTCCTTTCTACAATTCCTGTCAGAGGGTTGAGGTGAATTCCTTGGATCTGACCGGTCCACTGTCCAATGGAGTTTGGTAGAAATGATGCTGCAGATATCAGCAAAGACTAAGTTAGGTCAGAAATGGTGAACAGCCCCCATTCCCGGCTCTGCCTCTTGGGATAATTACTCTTGGAAGCAAGCCCCTCCATGCTGTGTGGAATCAACACTACTCGCATCCCAGTGACAGTGAGAATACTGATTTTTTTTTTTTTGTAAGTAAATGTTGAGGTGGGTGGCTTGGTTTCAGTAAGTACTTAATCATTGCAGAGCAATGCATAACTGAGCCTTGAAGGTTTAGCTTTTTCTCTCTGGTTATTTAGGAAGTCTTGGAATTGTTCTGAGAGAAGTGATATAATCTGGAGATAGAATGTTTGGATCAGATGTCTTTGGCTGCTTGGTTGAGAATAAATAGAAGGGAGACAATGGCAGAAACAGGAAGTCCACTATATATTAGTAACTCATTTATGTCACTGAAATTTTTTCCCAAGAATAAAAAATTTTATTAATATGTTCCCAGAGATAAACATTTCATTCTTTTATACCCTTAAATATTCTTTATACATACATGAAAATAAAATCTTTTTTTCTTTTAATGTCTTCTTATATTCCTAAAAAGACTATTTGATTTTCTGTTCTTTTGTTAAAGACCGGGCAAAATATGGTAATTGTAAAGATCATTACAGTGTCACATTTGGTTTTAATTGGAGAAATTAACTAGTTTTTACAATTACGCAAAATATTCCAAACTGGCTTAAGCAAATTAAAACGCCGTGTTCGGGGACCGTATGGGATGGTGGGAATTGAACCCGGGTCCGCCACATACAAGGCAAACGCCCTAACTGCTGTACTATTGCTCCAGCCCCAAGAAACAATTCTTAAAATATTTTTCTCTTTTAGGATTTGGAATTGTAACTGATAAATTATAGTTCTGGTTATATAATATCATTTGGCTTCTTTATTGGATTTTTATTTGTATGTAAATTAAGATTTTTTTTGTAGTAGAATAAAATCTTGAAATTTTTTCCTAGCTTACATGCTAATTCTTAAAAATTTTTTGGAGATAACATGATCTCTTGAGTTAATACAGAACTCAGTGTGACTAATTATTTGGTGGATTGTCACTCCCACATACGATGATTGTCATAGAACTGGAACTTATTGGAATGTGTTTGTTGTTGCTTAAATTCAATAAGGGAAATAGAAAAGATATTTTAAATTATTTTTTATTGGGGTATCGTTGGTTTACAAGACTATGTTTGTACTCCTACTCAGTGGTGGAGAGATTTTCTTCTGCCAAGGGCCATGTGGATAGTTATAATCTCATTCGTGGGCTAGATGATACAGACAGATTGGTTGCAGGCAGCCAACAAGAAGCAGATGTGTCTATCCCATTATGCTTCTGGTCCAGACCACATGATTTTGTGATGTTGTGTGGCCTGACAGCCATACAAGCCCCACTCCTAGTTTAGGGGTACATTGTTACAAGTTGTAGTATTTGTTCTTTGTTCTTGAAGAATGCCATTGGAATTTTGATAGGAATTTTATTGAATCTGTATTGAGTCTTGTGGATAGGATGGTTACTTTAACATAAAGTTTAACACTTTAACACTTCCAGTTCATGAATCTTTTTAAAATTTTTTCTGTTTTTTTAAGTTTTATTTTCATAAGGTTGTTAACATTAATTGATTACATTCAATATTTCAATGCCAATCCCACCACCATTACACCTTCCCACCACCGTTCAAGCCTGCCTGCCACAGACAGATGCTAGATAATTTATTTTCTATTGCTTGTTATGAATATCATGAGTCGCGTGTCTGCTTTTGCAGCCGCATGCTCCTAGAATTCTAAAATTGTGAATGCTTGGGGCCTGGAGACAGCTCTACAGGGAGCTAATCCATTTTGAGATTCATTTGTGAGTCTCTGGATCAAGGCTGGTGACCACTTAAATATGGCTCAGAGGCAGTTTGTGGGCATGACAGTCAGGATTTCCAGGTGTTTTTATCAATTTGTTTTAATAGTGACTTATTTTAAAAAATAATTAATACCTGTAACTTTACTTTCTATGAATTAATACCTGTAACTTTACTATGAATGAGGTGTTCACTGTTAGATTAAGGACAAGAAATAATTCTCTGGGAAAAAACTGAAAACTTGAAAAGAAAACCCTTCTTAAGTAAAAATATTAGAAGTCATTACCTTTTGTATGTCTTATAAAATGTACATTTTCATTTTAAAAGAAAGTTTTATAATAATGGTTTTGTTGAAGTTATATAATTTTTTTTGTTTTCCTATCAGATGCCATTTCTGTGAGGTTTATTTAAGACCCTAGTAGAAGTTATTAAAAGTTGATTTAGGCTGCTGCCTTTTTTTCCTGAGATAGTGACTTCTCACTAATATTTATTGATTTGGTGGGTTTCCCCCCCTTTGGTTAAAATAACTTTAAGGGTTAACATAATTTTAATTCCTATATTATACTTTTATATTTCAAGCAGTTTGTCTTAAAACACTTAACAGCCTGTGTCAGAATCAGTTGGAAACAGTTTAAAAATGGCCTTTGGTTCAGGCTTAATTACGATCTCTGAGGCTAGCATGTGAGAACTTTATGTGCTCACTTTTTAAGTGAGTTTTCTGTAGGGACTAGTGCATCATTTCCATGCATCCCTAAATCCTGACTTTCACTCAGAATTTTAAAGCAAAAGATCTTTTTGTATTAGTTTCTGAATATAATTTTTGTTTGCTATATTTTTTATACTGTGGGCCGTCCAAGCCATGCAGGAAGTCATCAGGGCTTAACCGATGGCTACTTTGGAGGCTGTGGGGTGCAGGGCATGGAACTGGGGGCCCGTGCACACCAGGCATGTGCTCCTGAATGAGAGCTGTATCTCTGGCCCACCAAGGGTAGTGCTTTTAGTTTTATTTACTGTAATGAATATACTGAGTGATAGTGATTTCTATCACTATTGGAATTAAACTTAATGTACTTATTGATTCCCAGACAATATTTGCACAGTTTCAACACAGTCGGGAAAAAGCTCTTCCCTCAGACAACATAAGACATGCACTTGCGGAAAGCTTCAAAGACGAGCAGCGATTTCAACTGGGTCATATGGATGATGCCGCAGAGTGCTTTGTAAGTACTTCTAATCATCCCTAAAAATAATAGCGCATTTTTCTTAAGTCATGCAGACTTTGAGACAAATGAAGCATATATTTATAACAATAGGAATTTTTTCAGAGCCAGTCAGTGTCTGTCCTACCCATCCTTCAGAGTTATTAAAATCATTCAGTGTTTTGTATATTTTAGTTTTGATTGTGTTGTTATATTTTTGACTGTTCATGGTCACGGTCCTCCCGTTGTTCATCGATTTGCTCTAGCGGGCCCAGTAACGTCTCCATCATGAGACTTGTTGTTACTGTGTTTGGCATATCGAGTACGTCACGGGTAGCTTGCCAGGCTCTGCCGTGAGGGCGAGATACTCTCGGCAGCTTGGTAGAATTTTTGAGTGTTAGAATGCACAAATAATTTAAAGTTTATAGACTAACAAAAAATGTTTCTAAATATTATAAACATAAGTTCTGTCTCTTAACTCAGTGTTCTGCTTCTGCAGACTTCCTGTGCACCCACCCTCCCAGTAGAGGTAGTATTTCTTACTACCTGCTGTGATAGTTTGGCGAGGGAATAGGAGCTGGTCTCCTGAATCCTGCCAGACCATACATGGCACCCAGGACCAACCTGGGTCAGCCACAGGCAATGCAAGTGCCTTTACCACTGTACTATCTCTTCAGCCCAATGTAGGAATTTCTTAAGGAAATTTCTTAAGGAAATCATATGTAAACTTCTGCTACAAGCATATGTAGCAGAAGTTAAGCAAAATGCTCAGATCTAGAGACTCATAGGGTTTATTCCTAGTGATTGTATGTATTTATTGCTTTGGGCACTCAGGTCTTACTCCTGGCTCTGCAATCCAACTTACATCTTCTTTTCCTGGCATTATCCCTCCTAAAGATGTGTTTAAACACATCTTTTAAAAACAAATTAGTCCAGAGGTCCTTTGATTTCTTTCCCTCTCATGTCGTGGATTCCTGGGGCACAGGTCCCTGCTGCTCAGGATCCTCCTAACTGGCTCTCAGAGAGTGGGTGAGTAGGGTAACACTCAAGTTGAACACAAGTACCTTTCTCTTTGGGTTTTGGCTTTTTGAATCACACCTGGTGATGTTCAGGGGTTATTCCTGGCTTTGCATTCACCATTGGTCGGGGAACCTTATGAGTTGCTGGGGACCAAATCCTGATCAGCCATGTGCGAGGTAAATGCCCTACCCACTGTACCTTTCTCTTTGGCTTCCGCGTTTTTCCATCATCCCCCCCCCCCCCACACACACACACACACATTTCAGGAAGCTCTCTCAACTCTGAGAGTGCTTCCTATGCTCAACAAAATATTAATTCCCTTGGCAAGAATCTTTTCTTTACAGGTTTGATGATGCCAAGAGCAGGATGGGCAACATTGCAGACTTTACCAGTTTTGCTGTGGAACATTTCTGGGGCCTTCCTTTTTGAACATTGTCCATTCCCTTTATGTCCACAGTGCAAGCGTTCTTTTAGATCCTCATGTATGTGGCCAGAGGGGAACAGCTTCATGCTTTCTAAAAATTTAGGAAGAATCTAATGGGGTTCTCTCCTCTTTTCCTTTGTTTTGGTCATTTTGGTGATTTACTGGAAGATTGTGGTTCTGTCCAAAAGGCTAAACACATATTTTAAGTTCTTGCATTTATAACCTTAGCTCACTTGATCACTTGACTTCCTGTTAATCGTCAATTTGCTCGAGCGGGCGCCAATAACGTCTCCATTTGCCCCTGTTGCGTGCTAGTGTAGCCCAGTGGCATCTGTTCTTTCTAGGAACACGAAGAGCCTCAAACCGATCGTTCATAATCTTGATGAAAAGTCTGACCATCTGGTAGGTGGGCGGCCACGTGGTCTTTTGACGTCCTGTGGAATCCAGTCGGTAACAGCTCTAGTCCAGCGGCAATCTCTAAATCTCATTCAGTGTTCAGGCCATCTGATTTTTCACGCCTTGGCAAAAGAGACAGCATCCCTGATTCTTGATCGTCGATGGAGATTGGAACTCCAGATTCTTTCTCTCATTTGAGTGAAACGTGATACTCCAAGCATAGCTCTATGAGTTACTCTTTGGGGACCCAAATAGCATTCTCATCCTGTTTGCATAGGGCCCAGGTCTCTGAGGAGTACGTAAGTGCAGGAAGAACAGTGGAATCAAAGAGATGTGCCTGGAGCCGGAGGTTCTTCCTCCTCTTAGCTATTTCTACAACACTCTTGAAGGTGTTCCAAGCTGCTCTCTTCCTCTTGCGCAACTCAGGTGCCAGGTCATTCATCATGTTGACTTCTCGACCTAGGTACACATAATTGTTGCATTAGGATATGGTCGTTCCATTGAGAGCGAATGGGGCGTCAGGAATGAGGCTGTTTCTCATAAACATTGTCTTCGTAAGATTCAGCTGTAGTCTGACCTTTCCACACTCACGGTCAAAGTCGGCCAGCATTTGTTCCGCTTGGGTAATGTTTTTTGTTATTAGAACAGCGTCATCAGCAAAGCAGAAGTGGCGTAGTTGCCGACCATCTATCTTCACCCCCATTCCTTCCCATTCCAATCCTTGCATGATGTTCTGGAGGGTGGCACTGAAGAGTTTCGGTGAAATGGTATCACCCTGCCGCACCCCTCTCTTGACATGGATGATCACTTCCTTGTAAAATGGTGAGATCCTGGTAGTGAATCTGCAATACAGCTCACAGAGGATCCTGATGTATTGAGTTTGAATGCCCTGATTGGCTAGGACTTCAATGACCGCTTCTATCTGAACAGAATCAAAGGCCTTCTTTAAATCAGTGAACGTTAGACAGAGTGGCATCTTGAACTCCCGCGAAATCTCAATGAGCTTGGTTATCGTGTGGATATGGTCAATGGTGCTGAATCCTTTGCGGAACCCGTCTTGCTCGCATGGTTGTCCTTCATCTAGTGTTCTGCCAATCCTATTCAGGATGACTTGAGTGAACAGCTTGTAGATGACAGACAGTAGGCAGATCGGGCAATAGTTGCCAATGTCGTGGATGTCTCCCTTCTTGTACAGTAGTACAGTCCTGTTGGTTTTCCATTGGGACGGAACCTTGCATTCAGACAGGTAGTGTGTGAAGAGCCGAGCCAGCGTGCTGATGAGTACTGATGGCAGGTCCTTCAGGTGTTCAGGTCTGACTTTGTCTGGGCCAGGTGCTGTTTGTTTCTTTACTGATGAAGTGGCATGTCGGATTTCGGAAGGGAGAACATTGGGAACGACATATCCATCCTGCGGAACTTGGTATGTGGGCAGGTAGGCATGGCTATCAAAGAGATCTGAGTAGAAGTCATGGATAATCTTCTCCATTGCCCTTCTGGAAGATGTGATAGATCCATCAGGACATCGGAGGGCAGTCATCTTGGTCTTGTAGTTGGCGAAGGACAGGTGGGCGTTATGAATGCTTTTCCCGGCTTCTGCCGTATCTACCAGCACTTCTGCTCTTCTCTCTTTGAGGTCTTCCTTGATCGAATCTCTGCACTGCTTTGCAAGCTCAGACATTCGCTTGCGGTTGCCTGAGGCATGCACCAAACCACGTTTGCAAATAAGCTCAAGAGTTTTCGAAGACAGCCTTAGCTCAAGTTCTTAAAATATTCACTTTATGTTGACTTAACTAAATAATGTTGAAGTGGCATGGCTACTCCAATCCTCTGAATTTTTGTAATCTTCACTCTAGATTTCATTTAAGATTTATCTGTGATAGCCATGTTTTATTGAGCATCTTTATTATTTTTATAATTGACAGAAAGATTTTGGATATTGCACAGCTTAACAGACTATTAAAATGTGTCAAATAGTACTGGAGAAAAGTACAGTAGTTAAGGCTCTTGTCTTGCATGCTTTTAGATCTATGGTATCACTGGGAACAAACCCAGCACAGAGCCAGATATAGCCCGAGTATTACTGGCTCTGGAAAAAAAAAAAGAAGAAAATCAAAAATGTGTGTCAAACACAGGACACAGTCACGGAATGTGATTTCATATTAAAATTGTTTTCAAAATCAGTGAAATTGATCCATTATTTAAAAGACATGTATATTTAGGGGACACTGTCATAGTATAGTGTGCTTTGCATGCAGCCAGCTTGTGTTCAATCCTTAGCACCCCATGGGTTTCCTGAGCCTGCCAAGAATAATCCTGAGTGTAGAGATAGTATAAGTCCTAAACACCACTAGGTGTGGCCCAAAAGAAAAAAAAAAGAGATTTAGCAAACTACTTTATAGTTTCACCTTTTCTTGCATATATGTGCCAGTACATGACATGATAATCCTTGGGATATAGAGAAATTTATATATATTGAATGTTATTGAGGAGGAGAAAGGGAAGCTAACTAGTTAAAATAATTTATTGGTCAAGTTTTGATTAAAAAAAGTTTTATTTTATCCTTATTTCCTAATAATCTGTATTACAAGTTTGGAAATTTGTATAAAATTTATTGCAGAATGATTCCTTTATTAGGTGTAAAGGTTAATATTATAATCTTTTATATTTTGATTCAAGTTGTATGTATGATCTAAGATTTTTCTTTTATAGAGTTCTTTTCTATTCTTGGACGACCGATTTAAGGGCAAAGAATTTCTTTAACTGTTGCTTGTCACAAAAGCTCTTCAGTTCTCCTCCAAACTTAGCTGATAGCCTAGCTGGATAGAGTATTCTTGGTTGGAGATTCTTTCCATTCAGCACCTTGTATGAATCCCAAAGAGTTGTAATTTATGGTGTGTATTTGGAGTAACTGCAAGATCCACAGCTTGGTGTTTTTTTTTTTCTCAATTAGGAAACTATATTAGAGAGGATTCATTTTCATATAGTGCCAAGCAGAGATGTCGACATGTGTACCTCTAAATCTTGCATCACTCACCAGAAGTTTGCTATGACTTTGTATGAACAGGTAAGATGGCTTACCTGTTTTCTTAGATACTGTTTTTGTTGTGTCATTTATAAATTAATCACATATTTTCACTTGTAGTGTATATGCCATAGCTGTGGAGCATCATCAGACCCTCTGCCTTTTACTGAGTTTGTGCGGTATATTTCTACGACTGCCCTGTGGTAAGAACCCATGATTGTATTCTTAGCAAACATGTTAATAACACATTTAAGTATATTGAGGCTTTTATTTTACTAAAAAATAGTAATATAGGTGAATTTCTAATCTCCGTCGGAGATGAGGAAATACACTACCATGAAAAGTACTATCTCAGTACTATCTCAGTTGGATGTCCCTGATTTAACCAAATATATATACAAATATACTTTCATTGTACTTGTCGATACAGTGGAGTTTTTTTGTTCGTTTTGCTGATTGAAGATTTGTGGCAGTCTTGGACTGAGCAAGTTTGTCAGCCCTATATTTTTTCACTAGCTTGTCTCATTTCATGTCTCTGTCAAAATTTGATGATTTTGGACTATTCTAATTTCTACATTATTATATATCTCTAATGGTGATCAGTGATCTTTGATGTTACTATTGCAGTTTTGGGGTGCCCACAAACTGAACTCATGCAAGACATTAAACTTAATAGATGAATATTATTTCTGTTCAGTTTTCCCAACTTTCACCCCTCCTCTGGGCCTTCCTGATACCTGAGGTACAGCTATATTGAAATTAAGCTAATTAACCTTCCTGTAGTGAACTTGACATGGTACAGTGAAAGAAAGAGTCACACACTCCTCTGTCTCTCATTTTTTTTTTGTTTTTGACTTTTTGGGTCACTCTCAGAGATGCTCAGGGGTTACTCCTTCCTCTGCACTCAGGAATTACTCCTGGCAGTGCTCGGGGGACCATATGGGAGTAGGGGATTGAACCCACTTCAACTGCTTGCAAGGCAAAGCCCTACCTGCTGTACTATCGCTCACACATTTCTCAATTGAAATAAGAGGCTAAAAATAATTAAACTTGATGCGGGGAATGCATGTTGAAAGTTAACATTGGCCAAAATTGATGGTTTTTATGCCAAATAACTGAGTTGTGAATAAAAAAGTTGTTCCCTGCCCCCTGTTAAAAATTTTTGTTGTAGATTAGGTACTATGGTTGCAGTAGCACTGTAGCACTGTCCTCCCGTTGTTCATCGATTTGCTCAAGCGGACGCAGTAACATCTCCATTGTGAGACTTTTTATTACTGTGTTTGGTATATCGAATACGTCACGGGTAGCTTGCCAGGCTTTGCCATGTGGGTGAGATACTCTCAGTAGCTTGCTGGGCTCTCTGAGAGGGGTGGAGGAATCAAATCCGGGTTGGCCAGGTTGCAGTAGTGTTAACATTTATGCTTTCGGTGTACAAAGTTATTGCACCTTCACCACTACCAATAAGGGAAAGATCTTAAAGGAAGTATAAAATGTTAATACAGTGAAATATTATTATTCCTATGTGGAGAAACTTTCAGTGGTCTGATTGGAAGATCAAACCAGCTACAACATTTCCTTAATCCAAAGCGTAATTCAACATCAGGCCCTAAAGTTTAAAGTCAGCAGAGGCTTTATGAGGTTTAAGGAAAGAAACTCTCCATGACATCAAAGTGCAAAGCTGAAGCAGCAAGTGCTTATGGAGAAGTTGCTGCCAGTTCTCCTGAAGATCTCACCAGCATCACTGATCCGAGGGGCTATATATCAAAAACGGATTACCAAAGTAGACATACAGCATTATACTGGAAGAAGATCGAATTCAGGATTTGATTGCTAGAGATGAAAAGTCACTGTCTGGCTTCAAAGTTTCAAAGGACAGGTTGGCTTTGTTAGGGTAATGACACTGGGAGCTTTAAGATTAAGCCAGTTCTTGTTTATTGTTCTGAAAACTCTGGATCCCTTAAGAGTGATGCTAAATTAAATCTGCCTGTGTTCTATAAATAGAAGAACAAAACCCAGATGATGTTTTTGTTTTTGACAATGTTTAACTAGTTCTTTAAAGGTTTATAGAGACCTTGGTTTATAAAGCTGTGACTCTTGGAAGCTTGAATAAAAAGCATAGATTCTAATGATGAAATGATTAGCGTTCGTAATAGAAATAAGGCACAGGCTCGACTTAAATAGCTTTATTTAGGACTTATGTGTTAATCAGGAAAGAGCTTAGTTGAAAATGAATCCTTGTTTCTGAGAACTTGATACTACAGGAAGCCTTTCCTATAATTTGTTCTGCTGAGACCAAAGTTTGAACTGAAATTCCCACTTAAGTTATTCTCTACCTTCAGAAAAAGCACCCTACTTAATTTCTGTGATTCTAGATTTTATTTATTGTGCAGGGGTGGGCACACTGGGCACACACACAGCTGTTTCTGTCTCTGTGCTCAGAGAGACCTGTGTAGGGGACCATGTTTGGTACTGGGAATTCGAACCAGGGTCATAGCCAAAGTAGCTGCATGCAAGGCAAGTGCTGTATTGCCTGTACTGTGCCTCTGCCACCAGATCCTATAATCCTAAACAATGGTAGAATCTCATCTGTTGACTCTTTTTGTCATTCACCTCCAAATTCTCGTTTTTTTACCCTGTGGAAGTTTTCCTTATTGTTAATGTTTCAGGGAGAGTTTGTGTGCTGTTTTGTTTGCCTTTTGTTTGGGGAAGGTTACACCTGGTGGTGCTCAGAGATTACTCCTGGCTCTGCACTCAGGACTCAGGAATCAGGAATCATTCTTCAATGCTCAGGAGAACGGGTTGACTATGTCAAGGCAATTTCTCCAGCTCCCAAGTTGAAGTTGTGTTTTAAGACAAAAAGTGATCATGCCTATTTTGACAGCGGGACATTTTTATGTGTAATTAATTAGACGTCTTTTTAAGTTCATAGATCGGATTTGGTATTTTTTTTCCCCTTCTGCAGTAATGAAGTTGAAAGAATGATGGAAAGACATGAGCGCTTTAAACCTGAAACGTTTGCTGTGGTGCTGCAAGCAGCAAACACAACTGATGACTATAGGAAATGCCCTGTGAGTATAATTGGGAGAATTATTAGTATGTTTCTTTGCTTGTAGACTTTAAAATTGACATTTGGAGATTATTGTGTAATTAATTTTAGTTTTTTCAAAATGATTTTATACCTTTTATACCTTACAAGCTTATCTAAGCAATATTTTAAAACTGCAAACAGTAAAGGGGTTAAGGCAGCTTATTTTGATTATATTATTTTTAAGTTATAAAAATGTATCATTTGAGCTAAAGTTGCTTCTATTCTCTAAAATAATACATTGGTTTTCTTTTGTAATATTATAAATATAGGGAGTTATTTGTAGTTTTAGGTTGAGTTATTGTTTTAATAAATCAACAAAAATACCAAAGAAAAGTATGTTAATTTAAAATAGTCATCTTGTTTAATCTGTCATTACAATAGATAGTTTGGTAGAAATCCTTTTTAGTATGCTGAAGAAATAATTTTCAATACATGTCAGGATTGCATAATATAAACTGTATAAGGCACAGGATGTGGTGTATCTGTTTTTGGTTATTTCTAAACTTGCCTGTTGTGTTTTGTTTTTTTTCTTGTAGAGTAACTGTGGCCAAAAAATCAAAATTCGTCGTGTTTTAATGAACTGCCCGGAGATTGTGACGATTGGATTAGTCTGGGATTCTGAACATTCCGACTTGACTGAAGATGTTGTTCGGAATCTGGGAACACATCTTTCTCTTCCTGGGGTAGCTCAGCTGTTTTCATTTTTATGTTTCAGTTCTTCTAACGCATCTTTAGATACTAATTTACTTTGTTATCCAGGACGGGGATTTCTTTCTACTGGAAATAATATTTAGATGTAACTAATACAGTTAGCCAGATCAGACTAGCTGGAATGCCTTTCTTGTTTTATCTGGGATTAACTTTTATTTGCAAACTAAATAGTCTCCTGCCCTATCCTGGTTCACTATGTTTTTTGTGAGGGGCCTATCTGGTGGTGCTCTGGGGCCATTCCTGGCGATTTTCAGGTGATTAAATTGTGGTCACATGCACTATTCTCTGCATTATTTTTCTGGTCTCCTGTTTCACTTGAGAATGGTGATGCTTGGAATTTGTGTATGCTTGTGTGTGATGATGATTAGAAGTATTAAGTCAGAAAGACTGAAGATCTAAAGTTTACCCATACACTAATTGCTTAAAGTCTTATTCTCGGGGTCAGAGAACTCAGGCAGGGGGTAAAGGGCTTGCCATGGATGTTGCCAACCAGGGTCCAATCCCGGCATTGCGTCCCCTGTGCATGGCCAAGGAGTGATTCTAGGGCCCAGAACTAGGAGTAAGATGTGAGGACTGCCTGTTCCTTCACCCTTACTCCACTACCACCAAATACTATTCCCTTAGTATATTTTGTACTGGCTTATGTTATAGTTAGAACTTTTGGCCAGTTTTCTCTTCATAATACGTTTAAGGTATGTTCAAATATGCTATTAAAAAATTACCGGGAAATGTCTCATTTATCTCACATTTTGCATTTTTGTATATAAAGTGTCCACACTGTTATCAGAGATATATTGTTTTACTGACCTGTAGTAAGTTTCATAAAATTTTGAATTAGCTCCTTGTTTTATATTTCTTTGCAATGGCTCTTCTGCCTCTTTAAATCCTAAAGTCATTTTTCAAGTATTTGCTTCCCATATTTTTTCTATAGATTATAATAATTCTCCAGCCCGGAAAGCTACCAAGAGTATCCCCCCCCCCCCACCCCGCACAGCAGAGCCTGGCAAGCTCCCCGTGGCATATTCAATATGCCAAAAACAGTAACAAGTCTTCACGATGGACACGTTACTGATGCCCACTCTAGCAAATCGTTGAACAACAGAATGACAGTGCTACCAAACTGTAGTAAATTTACTTTATTGGTCTTAGAGATTCTTATACATTAAGTAAAACTAGTAATTGTGATAACGGTAAATTGCCTGTGGTGTCTTCATTATTTAAATAATCTGAATGAAATTGCATTTTGCATTGGAAGTATTTCTCTGGGGCAGATGTGTGACTCATCAAGTTACTGATCCTCTTAGAAAGAAAAATGTACATTATTAATTTTTTAACAGCTTTTTTATAGGGTTACTGATGAAAATGCCAAAAATAGTGACCTTCATCTTGTTGGCGTGATCTGCTACACTAGCCGACACTACTGTGCCTTTGCTTTTCATACCAAGAGTTCCAAATGGGTATTTTTTGATGATGCAAATGTAAAAGAGGTAAGTGGCACTTTTACTGATTGCTTTTTACTTTTTAAGAATGGATGAGAGGGTATTTGATCATTGTATAATTGTAACCCAAGCACAAAATTTGTAAGTCTACAACTGTACCTCATGGTGTCTCACTAATAAAAAAATTAAAAAAAAGAATGGATGACATATGTAAATGGCATATAATGTATAATATATGTAAATTAATGACATAATATGAAATGACATAACTACATTAAATAATAGCTTAGTGATAGTGTTAAGTTGTTTCTGTAATTAGATATAGTGTACTAGATCTTATAGCTTATTCAGACATTCAAATGAATCGAAATGAAAACTAGTGAATAAATAGTTCTTAATAAGGGGTTTGTATCAGGAACTCTCCTGTACCTGCTGGAAAACCATACATGTGTGGTTTCTTGAATTCTTGAGTCATTGGATCAGGGCAGACATCTGAATCTTATAAAAGTTCTACAGTAGGGCTGGAGGTTTAGTACAGCAGGTAGGGCATTTGCCCAGGATGTGGCCAACCTGGATTCGATCCCCAGCAACCCATATGGTTCCCTGAGCACTGCCAAGAGTAATTCCTGAGTGCAGAGCCAGGACTAACTGCTGTACATCGCCAGGTGTGACCCAAAAAGAAAAAAAAAATAATAAGTAAAAGTTCTATAGTAGATTCAAGCTTACCCGCAGTTAAAAGCTATTGATTGTGCTTGTGTTGTTCTCAGCTTATTTTCTATGAATGTCCTATGATCAAGTGGTAAGTTAGTTTAAAGAATATAGACTGTGGGCCAGAGCTATAGCACAGCAGGCAGAGCATTTGCCTTTCACACAGCTGACCCAGATTCAATCCCTGGCACCCAGGAGTAACCCCTGAGTATTGCCAAGTGTGGACAAACCCATCCCCCCAAAAGAACCCTAAAAAACTAAGGAAAAATACAAGTTACAAGTAAGCAACATATAATTTCATTAACTTTCATTTCATCAAAGCACATAGCCGAGGACCATTTATCAAGTACTACATTTAAAAATTCAAACACTTGGTGGGGGCTGGAGTGATAGCACAGCGGGTAGGGCGTTTGCCTTGCACGCAGCCAACCCGGGTTCGATTCCCAGCATTCCATACGGTCCCCCAGCACTGCCAGTAGTAATTCCTGAGTGCAGGCGCAGGAGTAACCCCTGAGCATCACCAGGTGTCACCCAAAAAGCAAAAAAAAAAAAAAAAAATCAAACACTTGGTAGTTTGTGAACTTCTAATTCTTCTCCTAAAGGAAATAGCCATCCATTATTAAAAATTAGAAAACCAAATAGATGAAGTGACTCTTTTATTTTTACTGAATCACCGTGAGAGATACACATTTACAAAGTTGTTCATGACTGGGTTTCAGTCATACAATGTTCCAACAACTGTCCCTTCACCTGTGTAATTTCCCACCACCAGCAATGTCCCTTTCCTTCGTTTCTCTCCCACCCATGCCCTCTCCTCCTATGGCAGGCACTTTCTCTCTCTCTCTCTTGTGCACACACTCTCTCTCCCCCCCTTCTCCGTCCCCCCCCCTTTTTTTTTTGGCCACCTTGGTTTGCTATATAGATACTGAAAGGTAATCATAAAAGAAACTCTTTCAGACACTGGACTATAGTCAGCTGAGTAGGGAAATGTTGGACAAAGAACTGTGTCCGATGTGACTTCGGCTAACTTCCTGGAAGTGGTTTCTGGACTGCTGTGGGGAATGAGGGCCTCAGATCAGTTGACCAAACTAGGTTGGGGGCTATGCTGACTATGAATTGCTGAATATATGCCAGAAAGAAAGTACAAAGACATAGAGGAGGAAGGTTCTGGAGATTGGCAGAGATCTCTTTAATCTCTGGCAGAACAGAGACCTACATATATAGGGGTAGAGCTGCACTAAGTTAGGAGCCACTGGAATACACCGGGCCCATACCAAACCTGCATACGGCGAGGGATAATTTGCATCCCCCACTAGCTAGAGAGGCGAGACATTCTAGTACAAATAGCACCAAGGAGAACCCTTAGAAATGTCTCATCTTGTCTGTGTCACTGTCACTGTCCTCCCGTTGTTCATCGATTTACTTGAGCGGGCACCAGTAACGTCTCACAACTTGTTGTGAGACAAATTGTGAGACTTGTTGTTACTGTTTTTGGCATATAGAGTACATTACAGGTAGCTTGCCAGGCTTTGCCATGTAGGCGAGATACTCTTGGTAGCTTGCCGGGCTCTCCGAGAGGGGTGAAGGAATCAAACCTGGGTCAGCCACATATAAGGCAGACACCCTACCTGCTGTGCTGTCACTTCAGCCCTTCGCTTCTCTGTGTAATGAGATAAAACAAATTACCTCTAATGATTGCTCTTGACCTGACATAAAGTTCTTTAAAGTAGAGCCCTTTAAGGTGCCATCTGCCAGCTGGGGAGTACATGCCAGCATGGGTGTCGCTTAGTCCACCCCTGGCACAGTATGACTCTATGCTGGGCACCTCTGGGCTAGCCCTGATGACCTGTGAGCACTGCTGGGTCTGACCCCAGGGCTCTGGAGCACTGGCCTGAGTGCCTCTTACTCCACAGGCTGAGCACTGCTGGATGTAGTGTAATTTTTTAATTTTTAAAAACTAAATACAAAGGACCATCTGATTCAGTTACACCCCAGACCTAAATCTAATCCTAAGAAACACAACCCCAGACCTAAATCTAATCCTAAGAAACACAGTAGGGTTGGAGCGATAGCACAGTGGGTAGGGCGTTTGCCTTGCATGTGGCCGACCTGGCCAACCCAGGTTTGATTCCTCCTCCCCTCTTGGAGAGCCCGTTAAGCTACCAAGAGTATGTCACCCGCACAGCAAAGCCTGGCAAGCTACCTGTGATGTATTCGATATGCCAAACAGTAATAAGTGGCACAATGGAGACATTACTGGGCCCGTTTGAGCAAATCGATGAACAATGGGAGGACAGTGACAGTGAAGAAACACAACATAACTCAACATCCCCAAATTTAAAATCTTAGACTGCTGTTTAGAATAGCATTCAGTTTTGAAAAGCAGGAAATTGGGACCTGGAGAAAGCAGACCTAAAATAAAAAGTGTTGCTGTAGACAGACTGATAAAACTGTTCTTTATTTGAAGACTTAAAGGGCCAAAGTATATGGGAGGCGCCCTCTGCACCTCTTCCCCAAGCACATATGGGAGAGACCCCCAACCCAACCACCACTAGCTGTGGTCCTGCCCAGAAAGCAAAAGAAGCAGTGAATAAACAGAGACCATAGAGTAGCCAATACATTTAGGTTTCTTTTAGTTTGTTTTTGTTTTTGCTTTTTGGGTCACACCTAGCAATGCTCAGGGGTTACTCCTGCTCTGCATTGAGGAATTACTCCTGGCCGTGCTCGGGGGACCTTATGGGATGCTGGGAATCAAACCCAGGTTGGCTGCATGCAAGGCAAACGCCCTACCCACTGTGCTATCACTCCAGCCCCCACATTTAAGTTTCTGAGAATTTAAAATGTAGACTGATGAAAAGGCAAGCCATAGATCAGGAGAAAGTATTACCTCAGCATATGTCTAGCAAAGGCCATTTATATCCTAAGTGTATAAACAATGCTTACAGCTCAGTAATATAAGGTCATGGTCACGGTCCTCCCGTTGTTCATCGATTTGCTCGAGCAGGCCCAGTAACGTCTCCATCATGAGACTTTGTTGTTACTGTGTTTGGCATATCGAATACGTCACGGGGAGCTTGCCAGGCTCTGCCGTGCGGGCGAGATACTCTCTCGGTAGCTTGCCGGGCTCTCCGAGAGGGCCAGAGGAATCGAACTCGGGTCAGCCATGTTGGCTGCGTGCAAGGCAAACGCCGTACCCACTGTGCTATCGCTCCAGCCCCCACATTTAAATTTCTGAGAATTTAAGATGTAGACTGATGAAAAGGCAGGCCATAGATCAGGAGAAAGTATTACCTCAGCATATGTCTAGCAAAGGCCATTTATATCCTGAATGTATAAACAGTGCTTACAGCTCAGTAATATAAAGAGAAATAAATCACTAAGAAGAGAGCAAATCATATGGTGAACATACCAAATGTAAATAGTTCTTGAGGTAATATTTAATGCATCTGTAGGCACATGGAAATATAAATTCAGTTCTCAATGAGATTTTATGACTGTTGAAATGACTAAAATTTTAAAAGACTAAAGACACCAAGGTTGGCAAGGGTATAAATAAGTTTTGCCTTTTAATTGGGATGATGGAAATAATTTAATAATCAATTCAGAAAAGTTTCTCATATTAGAAATTTTTTTTTTAATTTTTGTGCCACACCCAGTGATGTCAGGGGTTATTCCTGACTCTGCATTGAGGAATCACTTTTGGCAGTACTCACAGGGACCATACAAGATGCGGGAGGTTGAACCCAAATTGGCTGCTTGCAAGGCAAGCGCCCCACCTTCTGTACTTTCACTCTGGCCTCAATTTCTTCTACATTTAAACATCTAATTATCATGCATCCTAACAGTTTTATTTATATGAAAATATATGTCCACATAAAACCAGTACTTAATTGTTTATAGTAGTTTAATGTGTAGTCACCTAAAGTAGAATCACATCAAATGTTCATCGTAGATGAATGGATACTGAAGTTGTGAGGTAGCTATAAAATATAATCTTAATAAAGAGAAGTACTGATTCATGCAGTAGTGTGGCCAAAACTTAAAAGTGTTATGCTAAGTGAGGGAAGTGACAAGCAGCTCAATACAATTCTAGTAATACAAAATTCTAAAAATTAATGGGGTTAGAGACATAGTCCAGGGGTTAAGGCTCTGGCCTTGCACAAAGTCGATCCTGGCTTGATCTGTCAATCTGGCCAGTCTGACTAATCTTGCCAGTCAATCTGGCACCATCTATGGTCACTTGAGCACCAACAGGGGTGATTCTTGAGCACAGAGCCAGGAGTAAGGCCTGAGCACTGCTAGATGTGCCCTCCCCCCAAGAAATTCTAAAAAAGGTTATT